GGTTTCAACCTGCGATTTAATAATTCTTATGAGCGTTCACTTTAAGTGAACGTTCACAAATCATAATAGATATCGGTTTCATGTGTCAAACACTTGGCTTTCTACTTCTTCTTGTGTCTAACCAGTACAAAATATAAATATAACATCTAATGATTTTTTTTTTTTTTGACTATATGTTTTTAGTATTACTTCTACGTGAAGTCAACAATTTACATAGTTGAAGATGCTAATTTAAAATAACAGACTGTAGTGGTAATTTTTATACGATAGATGGAGTAGATGAAAGCATAGAGTTGATAGTTCCGTTAGAGTACGGCAGTGTGAAGATTGTATATAGATATTAGAGAAGCGAGCTAGGACAACTTTTAAGGAAGGTACAAATCGGTTTTTTCATCTCTCTTTGCCAAACTCTTGAGCGGGTCGGTTTTCATCTCTTTTTGCCAGTGGTGGCGGGGGGGGGGACACCCCTCACCATCCCTCTCCAAAAGGGGGAGTTGTCCTAGCTCGCTTCTCTAATATCTATATACAATCTTCACACTGCCGTACTCTAACGGAACTATCAACTCTATGCTTTCATCTACTCCATCTATCGTATAAAAATTACCACTACAGTCTGTTATTTGAAATTAGCATCTTCAACTATCTAATGATTTAAAAATTCAGAATTTTTTTTATAGCAAGTGAGTGGAAGCAAGCTTGTCCGAGGATTTGATTATTCGAGGATTCGATTATCCGGGTCTTGATTTTCCGGAAAAATGGCCATAATTTGTTTCTGTAGTATTGGATTTGAGCAATTAAAAGGTATCCTGAGGTGAACATACCATATCATCCTGAGCTGTGAGCGATTATACTATAGCATAGTTGTAAATTTGATTTGAATTGTAGCACTGTTGAAGATATTCAGAGCAAAACTTGATCAACCAGAAGTCTAGAAAACAAAGATCCCTGATCACCCGATGGTCTGGGGAATAATTTCCGAGTCACCTTGCATCATAAGAGAATATCCGACAGATGCGATGAACAGTTGTAACCTCTACCGAGATTCCAACCTGAAATTCAATGTTTTAGTGGTAGTTTTGCAAATGTACCATATTACAAAATTGTTCGTAAATATAAATCACATGCAAGTTATGTTTTGGTTTACATAATTCGAAAAATAAACGATTCAAGTAATTACTAAGTTTTTCATGGGATTTTCATATTATTTTAGTCTAGTAAAGTAGCGCATCGTGACCACGCCGTGCTGGAAATAACATTTCCAAAAACACGAGCATGATGGCAAAAATAAGGGATGTGCCGTCAAAATGGCACTATACGCTACTCTACAGAGACTGGTAGGAGATAGACAGGGTATTATCGAAAATAGGTAGTCTAGGCACTCTTCTGCTCGAATGGTCATCGATAGCTACGAACGAAGCCCGGCTCTCCCACGGCCCGAATAACGAAGAGCGCGCAATACCCGAGAGCGCGATTCGTGCATCACGTGATCGTAGGTACGATACATGGATGGGGTGATCATCATCCGATTTTGAATCTGCCCCCACTGAGCTATATAAGCCCAGCTTCCCCAAGGATCGGCCTCTTTTTTCCTGGGAAAGCAACAAGTAAAGTTCGGTGATTTTTATCTAAAAGTTTTTTTTTTCTAAAAAGTATTGCTAAACGTTAAGGAGATAGTCTTGCAGTATTATAGTGCTAATCGTATAGGAGTTTCGACTCGCACGTTAGTAGGACAGTTAGAGCTAGAGGCTAATTGCAAAGGAGCTTCGTGCTCGCTAGGTCTAAGTGTTCAGTGTCCCGAAACCACGTGAATATAGAAGAACGATCACCGTTGAAGAGAATCCGTGGTTCAGTGATAAGTGCTTCCCAGAGATCCTAACAGCTCTGTCCGTTACCATACGGATCTCTTCCACGCTTAATCAAATAAGGTTTGGAATCAGACATACGGAGATCTTCCCCTATATATCTATATAGGGTATACGTCCCTAACCTCGGTCTAATATGCAGCCATAGATTACGTTTTTAATCATAACTCATCAATTAATTTACCTGCAAACGATATTCTACTGCTAAATGGTATGCTTAGATATGCTTATCATGTCGTTTGCTATCAGGAACCGCAAAAAGTTGAAAAACTTACTTTTTTTAAGACAAAAACTCACCAGGGAAATGTATGTAATATCGGTCTATTGTCCCCAAATTGGGTCTATTTATGGATGCAACTTCGTCCTATCCTGTTTGATTCTCAAAAAAAAACGCTCTTGGTAACGTTTTCTTATGTATTTTTTTTTATCACTATCACTGTTAACTTAATACTCTTCATTCCTCAAAACATTTCTTAGAGAAAATTTTACGAAAACTACATTAAATCACTCAAGTTAAAAATTAAAAATTAAAAATTTCGCTTATCGTCTTTCGACCGCAGAATATCTAAATCAAAACATTGTGATGTTCATTATACAGATTTGGCAGAAAAAATCTCCCTTCCTGTTCGTTCCTTATCATCCAAATGAAAACCACATTGTTGACGTTACTCTTATTGCTATATGCTGTCAAATGAATTTCATGGGCCAAAGTTAGGAACATAGAAAAGAAATGTGTCCCTAAAGTTGGGTCCATGATTTACTTGTGAAAACGTTGTTAAACAATTAAAATAAACATAAAATATTCAAACAGTAACTGTGAGTTTTACGTCTAGTGTGTATTATCAGGTAATTCCATTCAATAAATGCCATAATCAGGCCATTTGATGATCGTCAGTGCAACCTTCCCATCTTAACCTTAGAAGTCATGGCGGCTAAAAACTCCGAACAGAGTGATATTCTCAACCAGTTTTATTACTTACGAGAGCTGAAAATGTATTGAAATGTTGTGATATAAATTGATTTGTGTGTGGTACACATTTATCAATCATCAGTGATCAATATTTTCCTTATTTTTTGTGTAATATTCCTTAATTAATTATTTATTTGCGTGATAGGCCGAATGAAAGGACTAGACCCACATTACATACCGTAACCCTATATAAAAATGAATTTCTGTCTGTCTGTCTGTCTGTCTGACCTTTATAGACTCGGAAACTACTGAACTGATCGGCGAGAAAATTTGTATGCAGTGGTTTTTGGGGCAGGGAATGATTCTTATGATGGTTCGAGACCCCTTCTCCCTCTGTAAAGGGGGGCTCCCATACAAATTAAACAGAAATTTCTGCATAACTCGAGAACTAATCAAGCCAATGGAACCACATTTGGCATGTGTAGGTCATAGGGGGTAGCCCCTTAGATACGAGGGGGGAGGGGGGGCTACGTACAATATAACAGACTTTTTTTAATTGGCGCATAAACTCAAGCTAATTGAATCCCGAGCAAGGCCGGGCACACTCAGCTAGTAATCGATAAAATGGATTTGTCCTACTATGAATCGATTCATCGAACTTTAGAGTTGGTTTTGGCAACATTTGAATAAATCTGGGACTTTCATCCTCCTCGATGTGCATGCTCTGACCTCTGGCAGCTTTTTTTTTATATATTTTTAGATTTAATTTTGGAGTTGGTAAAGTAGAATATTGTAGAACATTGAATTATGCAAAGCTTTTGATATCTCCATGTGAGGCACATAGACTCCAAGTGTGTCACAATCCGAACCAATAGTGTTGAGGCATGGTTCAAAGCATAAGATTCACTCATGAAAAGGATGTTTTTCACAATAAGTGCAAAAGTAAGTGATGACGTGTGGATTTTTTTGAGGGTAGTCCCTACACGTTACTCTGATTCCAAACATAACCATTTGACAATATTTGGGGTATTTGACAGCACTTGCCAGAGTTGGTTGGAAATGCTAACATGAAGCTTTAGTGTGATAATTTATTAGCTAGAGAATGATCTTTAGAAGAGAGTAGGTGGATAGTTCCGTTAGAGTACGGCAGTATGAAAATTGAATAGAAGTTGAAAATGAGCGAAGGGCAATTAATGCGACCGTTTTTAAAGTTAGACGCACATCTTTTGCGTATGAAGTAACATAAAAACACTTTGAAAGTATTTTCCATTTTTTCTGGCTCCTACACGTCACCCCGATTGCAAAAATATCCATAGTGTGGGGTATTTGGCAGTGTTTCCCTGTTTGTTAGTAACCGGAAGCCACCATCTTGGATTTTAAAATGGCGTCAGACATGGATTTACACGTCACTCCGATTGCAAAAATATCCATATTGTGAGGTATTTGACAGAATTTCCAAGTATTTCTGTAATCAGGATCTGCCATCTTGGATTTCAAAATGGACATGGATTTCCAGTCTCTTCACGTCGCCCCGATTTAAAAAAAAACGCATTTTGTGTGGTATTTGACAGAATTTCCCATTTTTTTGCTAGCCGGAAGCCACCATATTGGATTTCAAAATCCCCCTTCTGATCCCTATACGTCACTCCGATCCCAAAAATACCCATATTATGGGGTATTTGACAGTATTTCCAAGATTTTATATAAATCCCAAATATAAAAGTTTTATATCTTCTGAACACATTTATATGCCAACGTCATTTCGAGTAGATGAGCCGTTTCCATGCAATGATTTATTGAAAAATATTGAATACGCCATTTTGAAAAAAAAAATAGGCTTGACTCAAAATGTCCGACTTCCTGCACAAACTTGATTCATTGCCCCTAGCGAATAATTTTGCAAAGTTTCATGGAATTCCGAGAGGAAAAATCAAACATTTGGTTTGTTTTTCGCTATTTGGCCTGGAACAGCTCAATTGTTTTTAAACATCTCAGGAACCACTTTTTCCAAAATAAGTACAAACGCTCCAATAAAAGTTAAAAATTCACAAATCGCACAGCAGAACACGTTTCGGCACCAATCTCGTATTACCTAAAAAAGAACAAAGCGTATTCCACTCCAAAGCCATCCAACAACCAACGTCAGCTAGCTATCTAACTAATTTATGGCAACTGTCAACGACTGGCAGCTTGTTTCCTATCTGTGGAATGATGTATGCCTTCACTAATGCCGGTGCAATCTATCTGTAGCATATAAGTACAACGGGATGCAGACTACCTTATCTAAATATGACACATTGAGAATAAATAACAGGATCATTGTAATCTATACCTCTTCTAGAGCATACCCTAACATCTACCTAAACTAGGAGGAATTGTCATTTTTCTCTATCACTGATTGTCCGGTTTCCCAAAACAACATAAGAATTCTCGCGCACGCGTACTAACTACCTACTGGACCGCCGACCGGATGTTATAAGTACAGCTCCAGAGCCGCCTGCTCGTTGAATCCGGTGTGCAGCAGGTCGTTGAATGGGTTCAACGAGTCCAGGTGACTCAACGGGCTCAAGCACGGTTCGGAGAGCTGCAACGAATCCGCGTCCGACTCCAGGAACAGCCCAAACTCCAAATCATTCGCAGACGTGGTATTGCAGCTGTTGAAGGTCTGCTTGAGCCCTGCGTTGCCCTGCAGTGGACTGAGGCAGGGCTCCGAAAGGTGCAGCGAATCGTTGTCCGAATCCAGCATCATGCCCAGGTCCACCAGCTCGTCCTTTTGGTATAAACTGGGAGCTTTGTCTTCCACCTTAATGGCGGTTTGCTTGGAACGGGTTGAATTTCTTTTCGCCGCACTCGACTTGGTACTGGCTTTCTTAGGTTTCTTTTTGGAAGCGGCAGCGTTTCCACCCGACTTTCTTCTGGGACTCTTCTCCGCCTGCTTCACCGGTTGGGGACTCAACATTGGCTTGAACATTGCTTCATTCAAGAGCATTCCCTTCAGCATTACTTCCCGCTCGATCTCGTTATGGTTGACCATGTCCATGTCGTTGTTGTTGTCGATTTCCAGATGACCATCGGGGTTCGTCAAAATTTCGCTCAGTATCCGGATGTACTTCATCGCCATCCGCAAGGTCGTAATCTTGGTCAGCTTTTCATTGGTGCTACTGCCACCCGGTTGACCGGGCGAACTCACCGGAGAACTGTTCCCACTACTGCCGGCCACCGCTAAGGGGACCGCTTGCCGCAGATTCTCGAAGGCACTGTTGATTTCCCGCATTCGAGTTCGCTCCCTAGCGTTGGCCGTTTTCCGACGGTACTTGCTCAGCGGGGGAGCTTTCTGCTTGGGTTTCTCCTTCGGGACGGTCTTCTTCTCCGGTTTGGCTGCCGGTGTTGATCGGCGGGATTGTCGCTGCCGGAGGGAGTATTTTTCATCTTTTTTGGCGGGCTCATCGCTCCCGCTGGTAGTTCCGATGGAAGAGTTGTTGTTCGGATCTGCAAAATCCATTATCGGTGTCTGGTTGAAGTTGAGAGTCGATATGGTGTGATGCATGGTTTGAAGGGGACTTGGAATAGCGTTTATCTCAGTTGCTTCTGTTGGGGTTGTTTAGGTTCAGATCTGAAAAGAAAGGAAAAGAGAAAATACGTTAGATTGTTAGTATTCACAGATTTGTAAAATGGCTTTTATATATCGACGAACAACTTTCACTGAATAAGTGCATCAACGCAGGGCATAATCACCGACAATGACCGTCACCGGCAGTGATTGGGCAACAATGTGCCGATCGTTAAAAACCACAATCCTTTGAGATGTCTTTGTTAGTGGGGTTTCACACGGGAAACCGATGCATTTCTACTCATTTGTCATAACCCAAAAGTGGCCGCCCATTGGCCGCTTGTGACCGCATTGCACCGAATTCTCTCGTCGTCGGCGGCAGCGCCATCAATAATCATCAATCTCGTCTACGCGTCCCATCACCGCGATCAGGGCGGTGTGGTTTCAGCGAAGTCAGGTGTCAGTGATACTCATCATCGCCACCACCGCCGCTCTGCTCGAACAATGTAATTCTGATGGCCCGCCCCGAACAATAACGCCGCGACGCCTCGATGAGTTTGTTGGGCCGTGAACGGAGCGGTGCGGCGGTGGTGATAAACATTGCTTTTGTCGCATCCCTTTGTTCAGAGGAATGATTTACAAGCCAACTGTAAATTACACACCGAACCCGGTCGGGCGAGGATTCTTTGGAAAAGTATCGGTTAGCGAGGGCACATTACAATGCATGCTCACGTATATGGCTTTTGTGACACCGTCTTGAAAGAAATTACATGCGAGGACGATTGTAATTGCCAAAAAGGTGGGAAGGTAGTGGGATTTTTCGGTGGTGATGTCGTAGGGTTGCCATCCGGACACTTGGGGCCAATTTCTTCACCTGTGTATAACTTTTAAACCAAGTTTAACCGTATGGTTAAACCTGGTTTACGACTTAAACGCAGGTGAAGAAATCGACCCTTAGTCCAATAGCAGTTCTGACCACTCATTCCCATAATTTCCGCAAAATGGACACTTTCATATCAGGTCTGTGAAGTCGGATGAAAGTCGATTGAGTACTACTCCTACACTGAACGAAAACATCCGCAATACTTCGACTGATTATTGTAGTGCTCGATTGCTTTAACAATATGCTGTCGAATTTCGGATGATTTCCTTGTGGTTGAATTCGTCATCAACTGATGAGCATCCATATGAATGTCCTCCAAATAAAGGTTGATATTTTTTATGAAAATTGGTTGTAAAACATACTGGGTTCACAGGACAACAATTTAAAGATAGGATGACTTGCAAATGCTTTAGATTAGATCATTAAATTCGGTTGTTTACATTTCCATATTGAATAGCCATGAAGAGCCATTTATTATGGATACAAACGTGTGGTGTTGGTAGATGAAACTTCCTACACCACGAAATAGACAATTCAGTGCCAACATTTCAAAGGGGCGTAATTGCATTTGTAAACAATGGCTTTAGCCATCGATTTCTCGCGAATAAAAGCTCACTCATGAAAAATAATGACACCAGTAGGTAGAGGAATGTTTCCTCTACCAGCTAGCATTGTTATTTTGAAGAGGTAAGATTTCATTCGCGAGAAATTGATGGCTAAAGTCATTGTTTACAAAAGCAATTACGCCCCTTTGAAATGTTGGCACTGAATTTACGGTTTCCATGGTTTACAAATGGACTTTACGGCTTCGACTCTACGGCTCCGACACAACGGCTCCGACTCTACGGCTCTGACTCTACGGCTCCAACTCTACGACTCCGACTCAACGGCTCCGACTCTACGGCTCCAACTCTACGGCTCCGACTCTACGGCTCCGACTCTACGGCTCCAACTCTACGGCTCCGACTCTACGGCTCCAACTCTACGGCTCCAACTCTACGGCTACGACTCTACGGCTCCAACTCTTCAGATCCGACTATACGGCTCCCACTCCACGAGTCCAACTCCACGAGTCCGACTCCACGAGTCCGACTCCACGAGTCCGACTCCACGAGTCCGACTCCACGAGTCCGACTCCACGAGTCCGACTCCACGAGTCCGACTCCACGAGTCCGACTCCACGAGTCCGACTCCACGAGTCCGACTCCACGAGTCCGACTCCACGAGTCCGACTCCACGAGTCCGACTCCACGAGTCCGACTCCACGAGTCCGACTCCACGAGTCCGACTCCACGAGTCCGACTCCACGAGTCCGACTCCACGAGTCCGACTCCACGAGTCCGACTCCACGAGTCCGACTCCACGAGTCCGACTCCACGAGTCCGACTCCACGAGTCCGACTCCACGAGTCCGACTCCACGAGTCCGACTCCACGAGTCCGACTCCACGAGTCCGACTCCACGAGTCCGACTCCACGAGTCCGACTCCACGAGTCCGACTTCACGAGTCCGACTCCACGAGTCCGACGCCACGAGTCCGACTCCACGAGTCCGACTCTACGAGTCCGACTCTACGAGTCCGACTCCACGAGTCCGACTCCACGAGTCCAACTCAACGAGTCCGACTCCATGATTATAGGTATAATACCTCATCGTGCCAAATTTTGAAACCATCATCATTTTTCAATTTCTCCTATTCTCCACAAGCGCTATCGCTAGATTGCCAATAGGTAACTTGATCTTTTTTTGTCGTGTAGCGCCATGTAACCCATCGTCATGTTTGAGCAAGTCACCAGAAAAAAAAAATAAACGATCTCACTTGCATTGCTTGGTAACCAGAATTTTTCACATAGATCTTTTTGACGTTTAATCGTCTTTCTCTGTTTATCACGTATGGCTGAATGGACGGTTTGTTTTCCCACTTTTCTGTTTCCTTCCTGCTCGCACCAAACTTACCTTTCCAATCAGGCTAAGGCATTGTTGTCTTCTGCTGTCCGAAGAAGTCGTCTCCATTCTACTCGATCCATGGCCACACTTTGCCAGCCTCGTAGTCTGCGAAGAGTCCGCAATTCGCCTTCTACTTGGTCGATCCACCTTGCCCGCTGCGCACCTCTTCTTCTTGTTCTTGTTGGGTCACTTTAGAGAATCATTTTCACTGGTTCGTCGTGCGGCATACTTACAACGTGCCCAGCCCACTGTAGTCGCCCAATTTTTGCAATGTGGACGATGGATTGTTCTCCCACCAGCTGGTGCAATTCGGGATTCATCCACCTCCTCCACGTTCCGTCTTCCATCTGCACTCCACCGTAGATGGTACGCAAAACCTTCCACCAAGGGTGCATTGGTCCTCCACGAGCATAGTTCAGGTCTCGTGGCCGTAGAGGACCACCGGTCTAATCAGCATCTTGTAGACAGTCAACTTCGTGCGACGGCGAATTTTATTCGACCGGAGCGTCCTCCGGAGTCCAAAATAGGCGCGATTCCCTGGGTCTTTGAATTTCTCTGATGGTATCATTTTCGGCGGTCACCAGTGAACCCAAATACACGAACTCATCGACCACCTCGATTTCGTCACCGTCAATCTGAACTCGGGGTGGGAGACTAACGTTGTCTTCCCTAGAATCTCTTCCTTTCATGTATTTCATCTTCAATGCGTTGATGGCCAGTCCAATCCGCCTAGCTTCAGCCTTCAGTCTGATGTACGTTTCCGCCATCGTCTCAAAGTTCCGGGCCATGATGTCGATGGCATCGGCAAAGCCAAGAAGCTAGATGGACTTCCTTCTATCCCAGCTCTTCTGATCACATCTTCTAAAGCGATGTTGAATAGAAGACACGAAAGTCCATCACCTTGTCGTAACCCCCTTCGAGATTCAAATGGACTCAAGAGTGTCCCCGATACTCGAACAACGCACATTATTATGGATCGAATGCATAATCGCCTTGACCAATCTCGATCGATTGTGTCGTATGCGGATTTGAAATCGATGAACAAATGATGTGTGGGCACGTTGTATTCGCAGCATTTCTGCAGAACCTGCCGAATCGCGAAAATTTGGTTCGTGGTAGCGTGGGCACCCATGAATCCCGGTATTGCCCCACGAACTCTCTTGCAAATGGTGACAGGTGGCGGCATAGAACTTGGGAGAGTACCTTGTAGAGGCACCAGGAGCGCCTGATTCGTCGGGCGAACGTATAGAAACGCGAGAAATTTTACAACAGAGAATCTATTTTCTTGTATTTTGACAGTCGACTGCGTCGCCCACAATGAAATAGTTTTTGCACGGTCGTTTCCGCGAGAAAGGAAGAACACTTCACAGACAAAAAGAAGCCAGTTGTGTCCTCTTCCTCGTAGGTAAAAATAAACAACAAAACTTAAACAAACCATTCGCTTGCAGGGTAGGAATCAAATACCCTTTTATGAGTAAAAGTTAACGCATTTTCAATAAAAGTGGCTTTACTCATTAGTGCTGCTAACAGTAGCTAACAGTTACTACTTAATGGGTATAGTAAATTACTTATTAATTAGAAGTGCCACTTTGATTGAAGATGGGTTAACTTTTACTCATAAATGGATGTTTGATTCTTACCGTGTACATAACAGTACAGCTTTCCCCCGAAGAACGCATTACCCACTGAGTTGCACCTAGTCTCGGTGGGTTTTCAACCAAGCGCTTTGATTTTCTGCGAGTGACAAGTTCTCCATTGTCCCTACTAACATGCAAAAAATCAGACCGACTGGTTAAACCCGGCCGAGAAAAAGCGGTGGGTGCAACTCAGTGGGTAACGCGTTCTTCGGGGGATAGCTGTATACGCTAGTGTGTGTTTCAAATGGTATTATCAACCGGTGGAAACTAACGATTTAAAATTGGCTCACTACTTGACTAGTCTATTGGTCTCAAGTAAATATATAAGCGTACCCCATTCTAGTTGAAATTCTAGTACTACTCTATGTTTGTTTTGATTCGATATGAAAGTTTGACAGACAAAATGAGGGGTTTGTGAATTTTCCTATGTTTCGAGGAGTGCATCGATTAGCTTGGGACCAAAGATAGTACCAGAGCTGAGGCAAAAAGTTGAGTACGTTTCTTCGGGACCTACTAGTCTTAGAGTTCTCTCTATGGTGTTATAGTGTAGGGTTCGTAAGATCCGGCTTGGAGAACTTAATATATCGATAAGTCAGT